CCCCCGCTTGTTTTTTGTGTCCCAAAAGGAAAGCCAAAAGGAAAACCGTTGCCCCCATTTCGTGGGCCATACGCGCCCATCTGACCTCGTCGTCCAAGGCCAGCACCACCCAGTCCAAGCCCAGGCGATGCGCGTGGCATTCCTCGGGCGTTCGAAGTTCGCGCCCGGGGCAGAGGCAGAACCGGCAACGGTCTCCTTTACTTGGTTGCTTTTGACCCCCCTGCAAAAAGTTTAACTTTTTTTGGGCTTAGTGGGAAACACCTTTATTTGCCAAAAAGTTAGTCTAAAGATCCAACCCAATAGCAATCAAGTTTGGTTTCCCTGTAAGACCAGAGAGTTCCCAAAAAAAAGCCACGCCCCATGTAACTGCTTTGCACTTAAAGCTGAAATTAACGGAACCATTCTTGGTAGATGCAGGTTTCCGTTTCCATGTGGCTCGGGGTCCAGCGTTGGCTTTGGGAAGTCTGATCCAAAATCCAAAGCTCGACCGCGGAACCTCACCCATCAGCCTCCAAATCAAGGAAGGAAGCTTATAGGAAGCTGCTGCAAGAGTTCCCCTCCTTTTTTCAGGCCCCTTTGAGCACCTTCGTTCTCTACTCAGCCCATTTGCACGCTCCATCCGCAAACCAACCCTCCCTGCTGGTTTTGAAAGGGAGAAACTCCCAACCACTTCAACGGAGCCGCCAGAAAGCGGGACCCGTGACCCGAGGCTCCCAGTTCCGAAGGAAGTCCATGTACGCAGCGTTCGCCACCGTAAGCAACACGATGTCCTCGTGTCGCTGGCTCCGAAACGCGACAAGACGGCAGATGGGTCAATCTGCCCTCTTAACCCCGGCAAGGTCAACCTGGAGTTTACATGGGACACCGCCACTTCTCATATGAACAGGGCTCGTTAATTCTGGGTTCCCATCACTTAAAAAGCTTGTTCTGTTCAGGTGCGCAAATGTCATGAAAGTCAGAAAGTCTGCACATGTGACTAAGCGCATGCGTCCGCGTCAATGAAGGATGCGAGTGAAAATTCATGCATGTATGTGCTGCATGTACAAATGGAGAGTGCATGTGCACGTATGCAAGTGCGCAAAGTGTGCACAGTGACGGATGCTCGCGCAGGGCACACTCTGCCATGTGGGCGCCATGCGCCCTGATGCAACTGAAAAAGGCAGCAGAGTGGCACTCGGGAGATTCGTAATCTTGGGGTCCCCTGCAAATGTTCGTGTCCCATCGAGTTGACCAATTCTTGGGCACCAAAACAGTGACATATGCCCCCTTAGGTTACCCGAGTCCTCAGAAAGACGCGGCAAAAAGAGCGCGCCTTGGTGGAGATTTCGATCCAGACTTTTTGGTTTGTTAGGAAGTTTCCTTTGGAGAGGATGATATGTATTAGAAAGAGAAACTAGACTGGAATTAGGACCCCAGCACAAAATATCTTTTTTGCCTGGTTAGTGGAAAACAAAGGGGACCCCAAAAAAGCAAAAAAGGAAAAAGGGGAACTAATTCTGGGGAAGGAAAGAGAGAGTGAAAGGAAAAATACTACGGAGCCCCGACAAGGCCCTTCCAAGCCAAAGCCTCCACACGGAATCGTCTTTTCTGAGGATATGGCTGTGAGTCAAAACCCTGTACCCCTGGTGAACATCAAAATAGGTGGTACACGGGTGTTCATCCGCCCCAAAATGGAGGCATAGTTTATGACCCATGGCCATATCCTTGTGGGGGCTGGTTCAAAGGGAAACCAAAAGGAAACGACTCATGTTTGGGGGTCAGCTGTAATCCCATCATACTTCCAAAACCTGAAATCCCTTTCCTTGCCTTTCGGTGAGCCTTGTCCCCGTGACACGGGAATCTGTGTTTAAAGGGGTTGGGGGGGGGGGTAAAGGCAAGGTCAGACTTGGCGGAATCGCTCGCCATATGGCTGTGGGTCAAAGATGTGTGCCCAAAATGGGTTGCCCTAGTAATGGAACCAAGCACTAAAACCTGCCAACAAAATTCAGCAACTGGGGTTACGCGGGTTTTAGCCTACCTGTCCATGTACCAGGGCAAGCCATTTTGGGACCCCCATTTTTGAGCTTGACCCATGCCGCTCGCATGCAGCTCCCATCTCCGTCCTTGAACTCGAGACTCCTCGCCTTGTCCACATACAGCCCCGCGTGGCGCCGCAACACCGCGGCATCCCCTCGGATGAACGGCGGCGAGCCGGAAAGGGGCAAAACAAGACGCAAAACAGTACAAACCAACTGTCTCTGAACTTCTCCCACGGACTCTGATATGTATGTATGTATATATATATACGGAGAGATATAGATGTAATGTGTATAGATACTCGGTTGCTTTCTGCCCCCCTGCTAAAAGCTTACTTTTAGTGGTTTAATGGAAAACCCATTAGTTGGCAAAAAGTTAAAGTCCTAACATCCAAGCAAAATGCACAAATGTATATATATATATATATACATATGTCACACCCAGGCACCTGTGGCTGGCAGCTCCGTCGGTGCTGGCTTCACTGTCACCGGCGCTGGCGCCGGTGTCGCGGCCGGCGCTGGCACCGGTGTCGCCGCTTCGGCGACGCCAAGGCGCTCCGCAGGCGGTAGCTCGCCTGCGACGACTGAGACAACTCCGGAAAATGTTCCCGGCGTTCGCTACAGCTCTTTCTATCGGGGGGGTGGAGCCAAAGAAGCCACAAACTAGCGTCGACGGCCTGGTGCGCCAAAGCTGGCAAAGAAAGCAACCTTGCAACGTGGTGGGAACTTGCTCACCCTTGTGATACCAAAGGGAATCCATCCCAATGACCAATGTTGTTCCTTGGTGATGCTCATCCCGGAAGAATAAGCCTGTCCTATGTCTTAGGGATGAATCCAGGTTTGTGGGATCAAGGGGTTTCTCCAACCACTTCTGTGATACAAGGAAATCCCCCTTTATATTAACAAAATGGTCTTTGGGAAGCCGTTTCTGTTGTATCACAGAAGTGGTCATTCCCCACAGCCCTGAGAGACTCACCCACCCCTTCAAAGACCCCCCGGATTTTCTTCACCCGCGGTTCCCCTCAGCGCCAAAGACGGGCCCGGGCACTCGAAAACTCGAGTGCCTTGCGGCCAACGCCAAAGAAGGCTCCCCACGGCCAGGAGAAGCAAACCGCATCGCCAGCTGATCCAAACCCGCATGTCACTCCCGTGCAAAGACGGCTCGTTGGCTAGGAGAAACTTGCAGGAAGCGACCCTGGAACCTCAAGATACTGTTGATCATGTTGCAGCTGTACCCAATCTCTAAGGATGGTCTGAGGGCTCACGGATGCAAAACGAACTGCTCGCTGTGGCTCGTGTTTTTGTTCCTGTTATATATATATATATATCGACTTGCCCTGGCCCCTCTTGACATGGATGGCGGACTGCGCGAGGTCCAACCAACAAGAAGCTCTCAAAGTGTGTTTTGGCTGAGGATACCTGAGGTGAAGTGTCAAGAGAAGGCCATTTCTTGTTTGAACCTCATCTGGGCCAGAAAACAAAGCGTTCTTGGGTATCAAAAGGCCACCGATATCCATCCATCAGCAGCGCTCGGGACGGGCAGTCGTTTTCCGCCGCTAGCGTTCAGATACTCCACATCCTGGCGCAGGAGAGGACATCTGAGAGGGCCAAAACAAACTCAAACACAAGCCAACAAACAAACAAACAAACAAACAAACAAACAAACAAACAGACAGACAGACAGACAGACAGACAGACAGACAGACAGACAGACACACACAACACGACCAAGCAAGAAAGCCAGCAAACAAGACAAACAGAAAAGCAAAACAAGCAAAAAAACCGACAAAACAAACAAACGCGCACACAACAAGACAAGCAGGCCAGCCAACAACGCAACAATCATAACCAACACACCAAACGCAAGCACGACATCACCACGCCCAAGCACCCCACTCATGGCCCAAGACAAACACTAAGCGAGATCTTGCTGGGAGGACTCTGGGGGTATCTTTTCTTGGGAGGGTACCCTTTTTGGGGTTGGTTTGAGAAGAACCCAAAGGACAACGGCCAATATCGACGGGGCCCAAACAAGAAGACACGCCCCTCTGTCGAGAGCCTCAGAGAGGCCAAAACCCTCTGCCAAAACCTTCAAAAAGTTGCACTTTGGTGGCTTCCACTAGAACAATCGGGGTCCCTTCAAAGAAGAAGGGCTTCTAAACTCTCTCCGAGATCCCAACATTTACTGGTGGTTTCCACCAAAACGATCGCCACTTTTGGAGGTTCCAAGAAGAACAAACCCTCTCCGAGGCGCCATTTCTCGGAAATGGCTCAGACACCCCCTCAGACATAGGCCCTTTTAGGGGAAATAGATGGCCCTGGTAGATGATTACACCACCAGACCAGGAATCGCAATCCATTCTTCTAGCAAAACCACCAAGGAAAAAGAAACTCTCCAAGACTTTCCATTTCAAACATGGCTCAGACACCCCACCCGAGATTTGCAACCCAACCGCCCCGAAACTCCCCCCGAGAAACCGAAAATCCAAAACCGGCATCGTGATGTCCTGCGGGTGTCGCAATGCCAGGAGCTCCGGGAAGAGCGCGGCCACTTCTTCGGGCCGCTGCTGCAGCGGGCACCTGCTTCGGCCGGCGGAGAGGTCGACCCGAATTTCCACCCAAAATGCACCGAAGCAGCCCCGGGTCCGGAAAATCCGGGGAGGATTTGCAGGGAAGGAGCCACTGAGCCCTGCTATTCCTCTGAAGGGAAACCTGAAGGAGGTTGAGGAGCTCCGGCACTTTTCTAAGGGTAGCTTCCGTTTCCATTCTTTGCAGGGATCCGGATCTTGCCAGAAAGCCTCCGGAAACCCAGGGAAAGCGGCTGTGATTGAAAAGGACGATTGAAAAGAATGGACAAGGAATCAGCCCCTAGCACTTTTGGGTTTGGGCTGGAAGGGGGCTCTAATGTTGACCCAGGATTCATGCATGCAGCGCTGGTCGAGTTGGGAGCTCCCTCACTTTTCGGGAAAGACCCCTAGGCTGTGAAAATCGAACGAATGGCTTGCCTGGTACGAAACCTGCGGTCCATTTCCTGGTGCTTTACTTCGGACCCAGACCGAAATGGGGGGGTCTCAAGACAGGGCCCCCCTTCTTGGAGGGTCGTTTTAAAAAAAATTAAAGGAAACCGCCTAAGGGTCCCCCAAGCTTCAGAAACATCCAAATTGGGAAGCACTCCGGGAAGGGGCATCGCCGTTTGGTACATGTTCGACCTGAGAGTTCCAAGTCTGCGCCCGAATGTACTCTTAGGCCGCAAGAGCTTGGTTGAAAAACCGACTTGGTTGAACTCTCGAAAAAAAAAACTCAAGCACTTCTTGAAGGGGCATTTTGCGTTTTGCCTCAGAGTTCAACCAAGTCGGCTGTGGAACCTTTCGCAGAAGAGCACCATGTACCCCACCCAGATCGACCGATTTGGGAAGTACGCACAGCACCAGGATAGTAATGTCCCGGGGCCACGCACGTTCAGAATATGGCGTCGGCTTGCAACGTGAACACTTGGGCTGGTTTGTTGGCTTGTGACGCTCGTGAGTCCCCCTGCGTTTCCTTCCAAGTGGCACACAGGCAACACCCTTTTGTTTCATCTGGCTCCGCTGCAAGAGTCACACCAACCCCGCTGTTCCTGATGCACGTCGCACATGCACCGAAACATGAAGCAAAAAGCCTTTGTGTACAAAGACCACGCCAAGAACTAAGAAGTGCGGCTTTTCGCGCAGATTGGCAAGGGGTGTGACCCTTGAAGTCGGTTTTCAGAACGTTCCCGTCTGTCACTCTGGCCAAGCGGCTGCTTTTGAGGGCAATCGAAATACTCCAGGCAGATGTTCTTTGCTGCCGAGGCCTGGCGTGAAGGAAACGGCGACACTCACCGCCGACTCGGCTGGTGTCTCCTCCATGGTTCGGATCAATCGACCAACCAACCGACTGACCAACCAACCGACCGACCAACCAGCCGGACTACCCTCTAACCTGCCCTCGCACCAAGAGAACGGTCCTTGAACTTTGCTCCCGGCACCTCATGGTAGGACGTGTTCTTCCAGAGGTCGTGGAACCTGCGGCCCCGGCTCTGCCGCCGATGGGGCAAGTACTCCAAGACACGACTCGGGCGTCGGTTTTGGTGGGCTATCCCATGTTTGGTTGGTTGAAAAAGGAAACCAAAGGGAAAGCCAACCATTAGCATGGGTCCAATCCTAAAAAACGACACACCCACTTGCACTTTCAGGGTGCCAGACATTTTTCCAAGGCTGTTTTATCGGATACCTTTGGGTCACGCCGCAGTCGCGAGTGCTACCGCAGGGAACGAACGAGGCTTCGTGCGCACACGAAGCTCAGAACTGTGCCGGGGATCTTCGAGCAAGGCGAGGGGTTGGGAGCATAGGTGGCCTTTTGGAAAAATCGATGGGTTTCCCTGGTAAATGAAATACACCCAATCTAAACCAGGGCCCTCTATGTTTTAAGACAAACCGACCAAAAAGGACACCTATGGTTGGGAGTCTTGCACAGAGCTTATTTAAGCGGCCTCATGTATCATCGTCAGAATGGCTTGACTGACACATGGACTTCGACATCGAGCGGAACCAACCAAGCTTCCCAAAAGGATGAGTGCGAGCCCCTGGCACAATGCCTTTGCGTCTTTGTTCCCAACATCTGGGGGCGGTCGCCAGCCCCAAAGGTCTTCAAAAAAGTTGGGCTCCATATTATCGCTCTCACAACAGATCAGCAATCTTGTCCGTTTGCCCTTGGTGTTGCGATGTGGTGCTTCTTTTAGGTCCCTTTGAAGGGTGAAGTCGCGAACCGTCGGCTCGCTCGCGCTGGCGAGCGGCAGAAACCGAGTGTCATCGGGAAAGAGGCGGCACCAGGGCATTGGCACCTGGCTTCTAACACAAATTCGGGTTGATCCATTTTCCGACCATGAGTAACTTTTCCCATGTGGGAAATACCACATCTTTTTGGTGATTTCCAACAATGGTCATGTAAAGGACCTTTCGGTCAACCCCCTTAAATGGGTATGGGTCTTCTGTTCACCCATCCTTCTGGTCAGAAACCACATGTTTCCCTTCGGTCCTTGAGGGATCATTTTTGACCTGCTCCTTCGAGAGGGAACTCGACGCGAGTCGAATGGTTGATGTTCCTTTCAGACGGTGAATCCCTCCTCCGCGATCCGTGGCTGGACAACCCCCGCGCGCGATGTGTGGAGGTCGGGGGTTGGACCTCACATCTCGCGCTGGGGCAAACAAATCACAAGTTGGAAGGTGCCGAGTCAACCAAACCTCCCTTGGAAAGGGGTTTCATGATGCATCTACTCATCGGGGCTATGACTAAACTCCTGTGGGTTATGGTGCAACTTGGCTGATGACCATCTCAATTGCCATCCTAAGCCAGGGGCTCGTTGTTTGTGGTTGAAATTCAGAGACTGCGATCCCTTCTGTTTCCGGAGAAGTCATTCATTTGGGTGACCCGTTCAATGAGTTCTACCAAATGGGCTCCGAAATCGGACATACCCTCCGACTAACATGGAAGTGCACAGATTTTTGTGGAAAAAGACGACTTTCCTCTTGGGGTTGGGGGCTGGAGGGTACACATCATTCTAGGGGTAACTGTCCCATTCTTTCCAGGGATCCTTTTTTTTAGAAAACCACCAAAAACCTGGGGAAACGGCTTGTTTTTGAAAAGAACGATGGCTGAAAAGAATGGTTGGAATCAGCCCCTAAAATCATTTTGACACAATTCCCAGACCAGCGCCTCCCCGGGCATGATGGGCAAGTACACCTCCGAGGCCTCCGCTAATCCGGGACTTGGGCTCCCCCCCCCCCCGGCAGCAGCCAAAACATCTTATAGCTCGGAACCTGTGCAAAAATCAGGCGCCCTCAAAATGGAGGGCTTCCTTTTGCTTCTCTCTCAAGGCCATCCAAAAGCCATGGGATCATCGGTTTTTTGAATACCCACTGGCTCGCGAATGCGAGAAGGTCGGTACTGGAAGAGGGAACCCTTTGGGGTACCCCGCAAAAAAAGAAGAAGAAGAAAAACAAGTTTTCATCTTGGCTTCCCTTCAAAACCACCAAAAAAGGGTCTCAACAAAAACAACTTTTGGCTTCCCTTCAAAACCACCAAAAAAGGGTCTCGACAAAAACACAACTTTTGGCTGCCCTTCAAAACCACCAAAACAGGGTCTCCACAAAAACACAACTTTTGGCTTCCCTTCAAAACCACCAAAAAAGGGTCTCAAAAAAAAACACAACTTTGGCTTCCCTTGAAAACCACCAAAAAAGGGTCTCAACAAAAACACAACTTTTGGCTTCCCTTCAAAACCACCAAAAAAGGGTCTCAACAAAAACACAACTTGTGGCTTCCCTTCAAAACCACCAAAAAAGGGTCTCAACAAAAACACAACTTTTGGCTTCCCTTCAAAACCACCAAAAAAGGGTCTCAACAAAAACACAACTTTTGGCTTCCCTTCACAACCACCAAAAAAGGGTCTCAACAAAAACACAACTTTTGGCTTCCCTTCAAAACCACCAAAAAAGGGTCTCAACAAAAACACAACTTTTGGCTTCCCTTCAAAACCACCAAAAAAGGGTCTCGACAAAAACACAACTTTTGGCGTCCCTTCAAAACCACCAAAAAAGGGTCTCAACAAAAACACAACTTTTGGCTTCCCTTCAAACCCACCAAAAAAGGGTCTCAACAAAAGCACAACTTTTTGCTTCCCTTCCAAACCACCAAAAAAGGGTCTCAACAAAAACACAACTTTTGGCTTCCCTTCAAAACCACCAAAAAAGGGTCTCAACAAAAACACAACTTTTGGCTTCCCTTCAAAACCACCAAAAAAGGGTCTCAACAAAAACACAACTTTTGGCTTCCCTTCAAAACCACCAAAAAAGGGTCTCAACAAAAACACAACTTTTGGCTTCCCTTCACAACCACCAAAAAAGGTCTCAACAAAAACACAACTTTTGGCTTCCCTTCAAAACCACCAAAAAAGGGTCTCAACAAAAACACAACTTTTGGCTTCCCTTCAAAACCACCAAAAAAGGGTCTCAACAAAAACACAACTTTTGGCTTCCCTTCAAAACCACCAAAAAAGGGTCTCAACAAAAACACAACTTTTGGCTTCCCTTCAAAACCACCAAAAAAGGGTCTCAACAAAAACACAACTTTTGGCTTCCCTTCAAAACCACCAAAAAAGGGTCTCAACAAAAACACAACTTTTGGCTCCCTTCAAAACCACCAAAAAAGGGTCTCAACAAAAACACAACTTTTGGCGTCCCTTCAAAACCACCAACAAAGGGTCTCAACAAAAACACAGCTTTTGGCTTCCCTTCAAAACCACCAAAAAAGGGTCTCAACAAAAACACAACTGTTGGCTTCCCTTCAAAACCACCAAAGAAGGGTCTCAACAAAAACACAACTTTTGGCTTCCCTTCAAAACCACCAAAAAAGGGTCTCAACAAAAACACAACTTTTGGCTTCCTTTCAAAACCACCAAAAAAGGGTCTCAACAAAAACACAACTTTTGGTGTCCCCTTCAAAACCACCAAAAAAGGGTCTCGACAAAAACACAACTTTTGGCGTCCCTTCAAAACCACCAAAAAAGGGTCTCGACAAAAACACAACTTTTGGCTTCCCTTCAAAACCACCAAAAAAGGGTCTCAACAAAAACACAACTTTTGGCTTCCCTTCAAAACCACCAAAAAAAGGTCTCAACAAAAACACAACTTTTGGCTTCCCTTCAAAACCACCAAAAAAGGGTCTCAACAAAAACACAACTTTTGGCTTCCCTTCAAAACCACCAAAAAAGGGTCTCAACAAAAACACAACTTTTGGCGTCCCTTCAAAACCACCAAAAAAGGGTCTCAACAAAAACACAACTTTTGGCTTCCCTTCAAAACCACCAAAAAAGGGTCTCAACAAAAACACAACTGTTGGCGTCCCTTCAAAACCACCAAAAAAGGGTCTCAACAAAAACACAACTTTTGGCGTCCCTTCAAAACCACCAAAAAAGGGTCTCAACAAAAACACAACTTTTGGCGTCCCTTCAAAACCACCAAAAAAGGGTCTCAACAAAAACACAACTTTTGGCGTCCCTTCAAAACCACCAAAAAAGGGTCTCAACAAAAACACAACTTTTGGCGTCCCTTCAAAACCACCAAAAAAGGGTCTCAACAAAAACACAACTTTTGGCGTCCAAATTCAAAACCACCAAAAAAGGGTCTCAACAAAAACACAACTTTTGGCTTCCCTTCAAAACCACCAAAAAAGGGTCTCAACAAAAACACAACTTTTGGCTCCCTTCAAAACCACCAAAAAAGGGTCTCAACAAAAACACAACTTTTGGCGTCCCTTCAAAACCACCAAAAAAGGGTCTCAACAAAAACACAACTGTTGGCTTCCCTTCAAAACCACCAAAAAAGGGGTCCCCAAAAAAAATGTAGGTGTCCCCTTCAAAACCACCAAAAAAGGGTCTCAACAAAAACACAACGTTTGGCTTCCCTTCAAAACCACCAAAAAAGGGTCTCAACAAAAACACAACTGTTGGCTTCCCTTCAAAACCACCAAAAAAGGGGTCCCCAAAAAAAATGTAGGTGTCCCCTTCAAAACCACCAAAAAAGGGTCTCAACAAAAACACAACGTTTGGCTTCCCTTCAAAACCACCAAAAAAGGGTCTCAACAAAAACACAACTGTTGGCTTCCCTTCAAAACCACCAAAAAAGGGGTCCCCAAAAAAAATGTAGGTGTCCCCTTCAAAACCACCAAAAAAGGGTCTCAACAAAAACACAACGTTTGGCTTCCCTTCAAAACCACCAAAAAAGGGTCTCAACAAAAACACAACTGTTGGCTTCCCTTCAAAACCACCAAAAAAGGGGTCCCCAAAAAAAATGTAGGTGTCCCCTTCAAAACCACCAAAAAAGGGTTCCCCCCCCTTAAAAAAAGGTTGGTTTCCCTTCAAAACCGCCAAAAAAAGGGGTCCCAAACAAAAAAATGTTGGTGTCCCTTCAAAACCACCAAAAAAGGGGTCCCCCCCCCCTTAAAAAAATGTTGCTTTCCCTTCAAAACCACCAAAAAAGGGGTCCCAAACAAAAAAAATGTTGGTTTCCCTTCAATCCCTTCAAAACCACCAAAAAAGGGATCCCAAAAAAAAACAAATGGTTTGTGGGAAGGACAAGCAAGGGACACCCCTAAGAAGAATTCGCCTCCATGGGCGACAGACCGCAAAGCTCCAAGTGCTTTTCTTTTGGGTCTGGCTCCTTTGCCTCACAAAAACACAACTGCACCAAGTGCTTTTCTCCCCTCACAAAAAAAAAAAAAAAAAAAAAACTCTATATACGCATATGTATATATGGCTGTGGCTCAAAAAAGTGGTACCAAAATGGAACCCTGGTAAGTGGAAACAAAGGCCAAAACCTGCGTAACCCCTCGTGTTTAATTTTGAGCCACACCCATATACATATACATGTACACATATATTAATACCCATATCATGGCACTTTTGATGTAGGGTCGAACACCTTCCAAATCAATGTCTCTCCAAACTGGGTCACCCAAAAAGTACGGAACGGTCGATCTCTGGCTGACGCGTTCCATCTTCGGCCTGCCCCAGGAACGCAGCCCACCAGGCAAAGGTGCCTCACGGGATCGGCGCGGAACAGCGGAACGTCGAAGGGCTGTCAGGTGAGTCGGCAGCAAGATCTTGGTTGACGTCGGAAGGGGAGCAAAAAAATATGTTTTAGCAGTTACGTGGAGATTTCCCACTAAACCACCAAAAGCACAAATGTAAAAGGTTTCCCAACAACAACCATGAGATGGTCGCAATCCCAACACCATGCAAAAAAGAATGAAAAGGCGGATATCCGCACCCATGTCCGGCTGGGATCTGCAGCCTTACTACCCTCCAAGTTCCCGGGTTTTGCTTGTGGCTCATGTGCCTCTGGTCAAGCGCCCTAATACAAACAAAGATAACCCGTACATGCATTGTATGTATATATGTATAGAGACATGCATATGTCATAATTAAAAAATAACCCTCGTATATACGTACTATGTATCGCATCATAGCCTCAAGCGGATACGTCGTCAAACATAGCTTCTCGGTGAAGAGCCCAACCCTAGCGGTACCGACCGTGATGCACAACATCGTTCACGTCGACACATCGACCGACTAAAGGTCTTTCTGTTAGCTGCAAACGCATCCCTGATCTTCACCCTCCCCAAGCGATTTTGAAGCTCCCAGGACCCCGAAACGGAAGACTCGGTTCCATCGACAGGCATCGGCCCATTGGAAAAGCGTCCAGCACTAGTTCCTCTGGAGCTGTCAGCTGAGGCGCTGGGCGCTATGGCCAGGCGCTTGGCGGCCTTCATCCACAACCAGTCGGCCAGCCAGCACTGCTTGCCCACCTCCGGTGCAAGGGAAAGAAGGCAAGAGAAATGGGTCCAGAAGAAGGGGGGTGCAATGGCAGTGTGATGCTGGTTCAAGCACAAGTTGTTGTTTTTTTCCCTGTGACAATTTGGCCATTGGCTATCGTTGGCTCGTCCTGATGGTCCGAATCTATGGACTCACATTCGAGCAAGGCCTCAGATAGTTCGACGTTCAGTACCTGTCCTTTCAACCAGAGAGAGACAAAAACTGAGCCCGAAAGAAGGCCTGGTGCTTGTCAACAAGCTCGCACAAGACACCCAGGGTAGAGACCTCCATGAAAACCGTCCAAACGCAGTTCCCGTGCCAGGCCAGCCATCACTTCACCGATTCGCTTCGCTCCTTCAAACCTTCCCCCCTTCACCCCCTTCACCCCCTTCAGCCCCTTCAATCCCTTCAGCCCCTTCAGCCCCTTCACCTCCTTCAGCCCCTTCAGCCTTTTCCCCCTTTTTCCCCCTTCAGCCCCTTCGGCCCCTTCAGCCCCTTCAGCCCTTTCACCTCCTTCAGCCCCTTCAACCCCTTCAGCCCCTTCACCTCCTTCAGCCCCTTCACCCCTTCAACCCCTTCAGCCCCTTCAACCCCTTCAGCCCCTTCAGCCCCTTCAGCCCTTTCACCTCCTTCAGCCCCTTCACCTCCTTCGGCCCCTTCAGCCCCTTCACCTCCTTCAGCCCCTTCAACCCCTTCACCTCCTTCAGCCCCTTCAGCCCCTTCACCTCCTTCAGCCCCGTCACCCCTTCAGCCCTTTCACCTCCTTCAGCCCCTTCAGCCCCTTCACCTCCTTCGGCCCCTTCAGCCCCTTCAGCCTTTTCCCCCTTTTTCCCCCCTTCAGCCCCTTCAGCCCCTTCAACCCCTTCAGCCCTTCAGCCCCTTCAACCCCTTCAGCCCCTTCAGCCCCTTCAGCCCCTTCAGCCCCTTCAGCCCCTTCAGCCCTTTCACCTCCTTCAGCCCCTTCAGCCCCTTCACCTCCTTCGGCCCCTTCAGCCCCTTCACCTCCTTCAGCCCCTTCAACCCCTTCACCTCCTTCAGCCCCTTCAGCCCCTTCACCTCCTTCAGCCCCAACTGAAAAAGAAGACAAAAAAGAGAAGAAGAAAAAACCGGCTACCCTTGTCTTTGCCCCCCTGCTCCATTCCCTTCCTTCTTCCACACGACTGAGGGGATCAATCCGCGCCACATGCTGTTAGAAAACGAATTCCGCGCCCCATTCCCTTCCCCTCAGACAAAAAATGATAAACGAAACCCCACCTTCCCCCCAGGAAAAAAGAAAACAGAAACCCCACCCGAACGGCCCTCCGAACGGCCCGCCTTATCCATCGCCACGAAGAGCTCGGCGCCCAGCTCCCTTTGGATCCGCTGCACCGTGGGGTGCTGCCGCAGGGAGGGGTCCGTGAGCACCTGAGTCATAGTCAAAACCCGGTAGTCAAATGGTCGTAATCCCAGTGTGAAGAATTAGGAAGGCGGATCTCCGCCGCATGGCTGGGAGTGTCCCTTACTAACCTTCATCTACCCGAATCCGTTTTGAGCAAGTGGCTCTGAAGAGACCAAAACCGAAGAACCCGAGCCGACAGCCCCGGCTCAGTTGGATCGCCTCTCATTTTGCGCTCCCCGCTTTGGGAATCAGGATGTCACTTTAGAGCTTGGCTCAAAGGCAAGCCTTTCGGACGCCTGGTGGATCAATATGAGAAGCTTGCCCCAAAAGCGACCTCTTCAAGCAACCAGTCCAGCTTGCTCGCCTACAAAAAAAAACGCGCGGAAGCCAAAACGACGGGGGGTCGCCCGCCCCCACGGCAAAATTCCTCGGGTGGTGTTTGAGTTTCCAGGTGAAGGTGGCACTCTCCACAATCAGACAAGCGGCCCAAATCTTGGCGCCCTTCTGCCGCACCTACGGAGATGCGAGCGTAGCCAACGTCGAATCGATTCGACCCGGACAGAGCTCCTATGGGGCGGGCCCTCCCGCAGTTCCCGAAGCAAACGATGGGTGATGCTTGGGGAGTTTTTGTTTGGGGGGTCCCCAAAACGACATGTGCCCTCCCTTACTCAACCACTCAAAAAAAAAAAAAACGGCAGGGGAATGGCTTGAACTAGACATGATAAGGCCAGTTGCGAGAATTGAGATAATGAAAATCCATGCATCATGCCAGTATGTGAAGAATAGGAGACCCAAAAGCCAGTGAAGCCAAGCTGACAAGGGTACCCTCAAAAAAACACAAACCCACGCGGCCACGAAGGGTGTTCATCACCATCGTGCTGGATCACAGCACAATGTCTCTGCTGCCTGGACAAAAACATTGCGCGGACAGGGGTTGATCAAACGGTCCTTTTCGCCATAGCATTTGCAGTCAGAATGTCCATCCGGTTTACGCTGGTTGTTTGCGCTAGGTCCATCTTGAGAAACCAAACAAAAACAAGGCCTTCCTATTTCAGAATAAAGTTTCCCACATCACTCAGAGGCCAAGAAAAATAATCACCCCCCATATTTCCATGTGTAAAAAGGACACTCTCGCACAGCATCCACCTCAGACACTGCTCTATTTAGGTTGGTATGTCTGTGATCAATTTGGAGGGGTTCAATTGCGAAATCCTGGCCATCTGGCTCGCCTTTAAGCCCCCACGCCCCCACGCCCCGGCCTGCGCAGAGTCCACTGCAAATCGGAAGAAGTCCAGCGGTGGCGAGCTCAGCCGCACATTCTTCATGTGGATGTCAAAGATCTGGCCGAGGAATTCTTGGGAGGTGATACTCCGACTCCGCACTTTTCACGAACCCTAAAAGCAGATTCCTTTTACAGCAGACGGACAGTTGAAAGAGCTTAAAACTGTCACCACACAAGCAACAGCAATATGACACGCCCAACGGTTGGTTCTAAATCGCGGCATTTCGGAGTCCATGTTCATCTGCGAGTTTTCTGCGTGCCCTTTGCGGGTGCTCAGGGACGACTCAGGGGCAACCCCCGGTCGCCTCACCCTTGATGGCTTGGCTTGCCTCGGATAGGGGCGACCTTCCCCATTTAGGGTCAACAGGAACTGGGGTTCAAATCTCAAACAAGGGATAGCTGACCCATCAAAGCTTCTCTTTTTCGTGGCAAGAAACAAGGCCTTCTGAGCGGTTTTGAGCCCCAAACCACAGGGGCTTTCAGCGCAGACTTCTTGCCGAAAGGGACTTGCAAAGCCCCACAGACGGCGAAGTTCTGAGAGGATGGCGAAGGTTCTTCCACCGTCACTTCCACTTCCATCTTCGGGAGAAAGGCGAAGCAACCGGGCGAAAAGCTTCCCTACATCCCAAGCCCCTCCTCCCGGGTCTTGCCCCGTCTGGTCATGATCAACCTGTACCTTTGGACCTGCCAAAGTTGAAACCAAATTGGTCTCTCTGGGGTCTCTCCGGGACCCAACAACCAGCCACCAGCACACCCGCCACGTCACCAGTCACCCGCCTGGGCCTTTTTGAAGGGCCGGAAGTAGATGACCAGGTCCTCCGCCCCAGGCAGCGCCACATCTTTGGCCGCCTCGGGGGAAAAAAAAGCCGCGGGGCGAGCTGGCCACCAAAAAAGAGAAGAAGAAAAAAAAACTCTGGACGGGAAGGGGAGGAAACCACTCATCTGGAAATCTTGGAAAAGTGTCAAGAAATTTGAGAAAGTGTGCAAACTGAGGGTTGGCCAAAAAGAAACAATCCGAGTGGGACTCTGGCAAAGTCGTTCTGCTGTCCGGCGTGCCCCCAGCCTCAACAAACCTCACGCGGGCCATCATGGTTCCCTTAAAACGAATCTTCATGCGCTTGTCTACGTGCGTGAAGCAGCCAAGCCTCTTTTCCGCCCTCTCCAACCCCTCTCCCTTCTTCACCACGCGCCTCTGGCATGGGTGCGTCAAAGACCTGCCACCGCCATATGAGTCTGTTCGCGACCCGACTGCTGCGGTGCCCTCAATACACCCAGCAAGCGCCGGATAAACATAGTGGGGGGATCTTGTCCAGGTCAACTGTGCCTTCCCTTCAAGCCAAAGCAAATGCAAGGAAAGCTTTCCATGGGTGCCTGCTGAAAGTAGGTGCCACAATTGCCCCAATGTTCGTTTCCTCCTCCCCTTCACCCGAATCAATGGCAAATGCGGCACCCAACTCGCCCTGGAAGAACGCAGCCCCGCCTGCCGCAACAGGCTTCGGAACTTGCTGGGCGAGTCTCCCCACCCAGCCAGGTCCTCCCGTAGGTGGGCCCTGGGATCCATGCTGAACCTCCGCCCCCGCCCCCAGGTAAGAAACCCAATAACCAAGCACCAGACTATTCCGGTTGCAAAGGCTTGGGTTCCAACGTTTATGGGGTGGTCAAAATGGACAAAATATGTTGCCTGTTTGGTTTCCCCATCATCCAAAAGTCAACCATTTGGGTTGTCTCAGACCATCAACAAACACAAAAACCTTGGGCAAAACCCCTCGGCTCATAGCTTTCAGCAAAATGCCACGTGCCAACTCGGGATCCAAATGGGGCGTCTTTTTTAAGGCCCCCTCCCCCCCTCCCAAAAGATATATGTCGAGTACCCAAAAAATGATGGGGGAGGGGACGGGCCACCCCGAATGAGTCACAATCAAATCCCGGTATTAAAATGCTCTCCCGCCACTATTTCTGGCTGGGACTGCCCCTTACTAACCTTCATCAATCCCCGGGTTTTGAGCAAGCGGCTCAAATGATGGTTCTGTTGGTTTCCATGTTCATCTGCAAATTGGATCCATGGAAACCCCAAAAGACACATGGTAGAGAACGAGGACGAGGGCGGGGACCCAAAGGACGAGGACGAGCCACCCCAAAGGCTCGGATCGAAGAAACTCGGATCGAGGCTCCTGATGGAAGCCGCCTCCGCCGGGGTCGGCGAGCATGCCCTGTGAGAAGCCGTGAGGGATGGGGGGGTGGAGATGCGAAAGTCCCAGGGCCATGAAGGTTTTCCGTGCAAATCCCTTGCATGTTTTTCTTCTTCAGAGAATCACTTTTCCTGGCCATTTCAACATGAAAGACCTCCGGGACGAGTTCTGATGGGTTTGGCTCAAAGAAAAACGCCAGTTCTCGGCCTTTCCGAAAGGTCCCTACATGCGGTTGAGTCCATAACCAACGGCAAAACAAACACTTCGCGGGCAAAAGGTGAAGTGTAAAACGGGGCGCCCCTGACTTCGCACTGCGCCGTCGAAAGCTCGCGCGTCCAATGTTCACACTTCCAACCCCCGCCGCCAATCTGTCCTTCTTAGGGACAAGCAACTTGTGAAACCCTGCAAAGTCTCCTTATTTCAGACGCTATTCCACGAATTGGTGGTAGCCCACAAGAACCAGATGGAATCCAAATCCAAACCACCAACGGGTTGCCTGGTCATTGGCCCCTTCTGGGTGCCCACGGAACCATCAGGATACCTGGAGCCTTCTTGAGCCGTTTTGGAAGGCCCTCTTCACAACTCTTCCAAAAGCTGACTCCCCATTCGGCCCTTCCCCAGATGTTTGGCACTTTCGAAGTACAGCTAGAACTCCTGAAACAGCGGACTGAAAAAAGGAAGAAGGCGTTTGCAATGTGTAAAACGAAACCTATAGACAAGGGTATGCATAGAACAAAAAAAAAACAAAAACAAAAAACAATACAATATATATATATATATATACAAATATATATATATATATATATGTATTGTACACAAAAACAAAACAAACAAAAGCGGGTTCCCCACAAGAAGCGGTGATATCCCGCTTCACGGGCTCCGAACCCCGCCTTGGAGACCAGAAGCTGGTGGCAGCCACGGCCCCTGAAGGCCGAAGGCAACCGAGCGCCGAAGACAAAAAGTCGCTGCCAGATTAAAAAAAAAAAGGTCAGGAGATAGAAAGAAGGAAAGAAAGAAAGAAGGAAAGAAGGAAAGAAGGAAAGAAAAAAAGAAAGGAAGCGTGCTCCTTTTGCAACCCGCAACAGCGAGCGCCCCTAAATTTCCACAAGGAAGCTTGTCAAACTGGCGCACTCCTTCTTCGTGGGTATTTCACGGAAAGCCGCGTGAAAAACAAGTACTTCAGGGACCCCTGATCAACACACACATGTGTGTGTGTGTGTGTGTGTGTGCTTATTTTTGGAAATCAAAAAAGAGACACCAATTCCACCCCCCCCCCCCCCGAATTTTCACATAAACAAACCATGACATGGCAATCCCCCGGAACTCGGCGGCGCTTCAACGCTTCCGCCGGAACTCGGGGCGCTTCCAATCCGGCCTGTTGCAGCTGGGGCTCCTGAGCAGCTCCAATTGGTGGCTTGCAGTGGTGATTTGTTGGTTTGGGGCGGGGGGCAAGGCTTCCCTCTACAAGCACCAGACACCCCCCAAAAGAACTGTCCGAACCGCGAATTCAGGGGTGCCTGACAGCCCGAAGCAAATCATCACTGGGCCTGAATGAAGAAATAACTGAAGCAATCTGCGATAGAACATATGGTTTGGTGTCGAACTAGAGGGACCCAACAAGTGTGACGTTGCTTGTGGTTTCCCTTAAAATCTACCCCCCACCATATCATGCAACTATGATTTGCGGGCAGAAGCTCGACCAGTGAACTTGCAGGGGAGACAGTGAACAGAAACGAACAAAAGGCCCACAATCAGAAGCCAATACTCGGAGTGCGGGCTGCCACTGATCGCCCTATGGCGGGATGTCCGTGTTCAGAGGCTTCATCATACAGCTACGTCGTGCGCCACCCCACAGGGATCCACCTAAGAAACCCCTGGTTTCTGATGATTCCTGTGTAAATACCAATGGTGTCAACCATGCTTTCATTTCGTGGTGCGCAATGTCGTTCGCCCACGGTGTTAAGCATTCTGTAGCATGACAAGCCTTGGCATCGCTCGGGCGCGTCAACCTATCGGCCCAGCCCATCAGCCCCTCTCCGGCCCCAGCGCCTCTCCTATCTTCCCACAAAGTGTCCTCGGCGCGCAAGTTGCACATTGATCAAACCGTACCGGCTCATACGGGCATGTCTTGTAGCCCGAAATGCTTGCTTCCCGTTGCCGACCTGAGGCATCGACGGCCCGGCAGCCTTCGCACAGGGCCTGTGCAAGAGAAACTGCCGCCCCAATTTGGAGGGCGGCTTCCCCAGAACCGCTGGAGAAACCGTGCGGTTTCAAACAAAACATGGAAGCCTGTCCTGGCAAAGCCTCAGAGAAGCGAAGAAGAACGTGTCACCAAAAAAACAAAACGCTGCGAGAACTCATGTTCCTTCTCTCACTCACTTAGACTGAATACAGTCTGCACAACAATTTTGTTGACCTTAAGCAGAAGCGAGCCCTCCAATGTCTCCCACACAAATCGTTCAAACAAGAAACGCAAGAGGTGGCGTCTGGATATTTTTCATACCCGGCAGAATTGTAGCTTTCCTCTTGGTTTCCTTTTAACATAGGGTGCCTCCAAAAAAGGAGAGCCTTAGAAGCCGGCACCCATGTTGGCCCTTTTGGGCCACGGAAACTTGAAGGGCAACATGTTGATTGGAGCCAAACATCGGGCTCCCACGTGTTTGCCGCCTGCACCCTATCGTCCAGCCCCAGGCTGCTGCGCAGGCACGGCAGCCGCAGGATCTGCGAGAAGCGCAGCGCCCTGACCCTGGCGGCCAGGCGCGCGCGAGCGTCAGCTTCCGGGAACTGGCGGGTTGTCCCCGAACTGGGCTGTTCGTTTTCAGATCCGCTAAAATTTTGACGAACTTTTAGTGGGTTTAAACGGAGTTCCAACCACTAAACACTAAGCTGAAAGGCTAAGCGGATGGCTGGGAGCCACCAAGCTATCCGGCGGCTTTCCCCTAACAGGGGGTTAGCCCAACCCAACAGAAAGGCTTCAAGACCAAGAGGTCAAAAAATGGCTTTGGCGCAAAGCTCCACTGTCTTAGGCTTTTTTTTTCTTCCGTTCATTCTTTCTTTCATTCATACCTTCATTCCTTCATGCAGTCATTCCTTCATTCATTCATCCATGTTCAGTTTCATTTTATTTCCTTTGCTTTCATTTCATGTCATTTCATGTCATTTCATTTCATTTTCATTCACTCTCACATTCATTCGTCCATGCATTCATTCAATGCTTCATTCATTAGTTCTTTCATTCATACGTTCACTCATTCACTCATTTCACTCATTCACTCATTCATTCATTCATTCATTCATTCATTTCATTTCATTTCATTTCATTTCATTTCATTTCATTTCATTTCATTTCATTTCATTTCATTTCATTTCATTTCATTTCATTTCATTTCATTCATTCATTCATTCATTCATTCATTGCATTCCATTCCATTCCATTCCATTCCATTCCATTCCATTCCATTCCATTCCATTCATTCATTCATTCATTCATTCATTCATTCATTCATTCATTCATTCATTCATTCATTCATTCATTCATTCATTCATTCATTCATTCATTCATTCATTCATTCATTCATTCATTCATTCATTCATTCATTCATTCATTCATTCATTCATTCATTCATTCATTCATTCATTCATTCATTCATTCATTCATTCATTCATTCATTCATTCATTCATTCATTCATTCATTCATTCATTCATTCATTCATTCATTCATTCATTCATTCATTCATTCATTCATTCATTCATGCTGCGCAGTGCCAAGTTCCAAGTGGATCGCTCCGATCCCCGCGGCCCGCACACTCAGGCGGCACGAAGAGCAGCACGCCAGTAACGAGGCTGACTGCGAAGCCTTGCGCTCCCTGGCTGCCAAGGTCACACGCACGCAGGCGTCTTTAGCCGCGAGCGCGGTTTCTGGAAATTGTCCAGGCTCTTGATTCGCAAGCGCAAGGCCGCGGAGCCACGCTGGCCTGCCCAAGTCCGGCGCCGGCGAGCTACTGCAGCTTTGGCGGTTCAGAGGAGTCGCCCTTGGCCCCGGTGCGGCAATGGTTGCCAGCAAGAGGCCTGCGGCTTGGAGACTGCAGCCCTTGGATTTGACTTTTTTTTTGTGTGTCATGCCCGGGGCATGCTGCATGGCAGAGCGTCCACCGCGGGCGGGTGACTTTGTCCCACATCCAGCCAGGAAGAAGTCCTTTTTACAAACTCAAAGCATTTGCTCGGACAACGAGGTCTTGGCCTTGCGCTTTCGCCCGTTCCCTCTTGCACGACAATGTCGGATACACCCTCCAGCTGGTGGCGAAGCAGGCGGCTGCTGACGAGCCATTCCTTGAGCGGGCACGGCTCGAACGCAAGTGCCTTGCGTGCCCATTCTAGCTCCCCAGCCGAGCTGGTCAGTGTCTTCTCCGCTGTCAGCACGCTGCTTTAGGCAAAGCGTGCCAGCCGCCCCAGCTGCTGGTGAGTTGGGACGTCTTTTGCGCACCCTGCACCCCGACACACGTCTGTCCGAAAAAGTTGCTCAAATGCTGCAAGATGTGTGCAGCCGCCCTTTGGCGCACCGTGTCATGCCAGCCAGCTGCCCGCCAGCGGACGGCGGTGTGTGCCACATCATTTGCCTGGGAAAGCGGCGGGGCTGCAAATTCCTGACAGCTACTGGCATGTGGCTGTGTGAAGCGGCGACGTACTCCTGCAAGACACATGAAGGCTTTAGATGGAACTTGCCTGTCGGCGCATCGTCTGCAGGCGCGACGCTTGTCGGAGACGTTATGGGCGACTGGATTGCGCACAGCTCATTCTGGCCACCAATCCGGCAATCGTTTCTAGCAACGGAGTCATACGTGGCGATAGAAAGGCACGTACGTCGCCAAGTGTTCTTGGCATTTGGCGGAGCACCCAAGCGCCAGCAGCTTGCCACACTGCGACAAGGATGAGATCCACCGGCATTTGTTGCATTGCTCGCAGACGCCCGATGCGGTCACATTGAAGAACTGGCTGCTGAGCTTCATGTCAGCGCAGATGAGCTCGGAGGATGTGGCGGCTTTGGCTGCGGAGGTGGTGGCTTCCCATGGTGCCATATGCTGCTTTGACTTTTCGTCCAGCGACGGTGCCCGGACTGTATTAAGCACCGCACTTTCATGATTTAACTTCGCCCCAGCACATAGGCCGCGTTTTGTTCTCATCCATCCGTCACAAGCTTGCGGGAATTACATGTTCAGGTGGAGAAGTTGCAAGAAGTGTTGAGAGATATGTTGCTTTCACTTTGTTCGTTGCTGATGGGCAGTCCTTAGGCAAGCAGCTTCAGAAGCGGGGCCGCGGCCAGGCCAGCAGCGGCGCGCTGGGCAGGCTTCTGTTAAGAAACCAGCGCGCCGCAAAAGCAAGCTGAGGGCGGCGCACGCTCAAGCCAGACAGCTAGGGCAGCTGTGGTTTCCAAGCAACAAGCCGCACGAAAATGGCTGCACAGCCCCCCCTTGTTCACAAATGCTGAAGACACCTACACACGTCTACTGGTGTTGCGGTTGGGTCAACGAAGTGGGTCACGTCCTGTGGGAAGATGACTTGGATGCCGCTTCAACCTCGTTGCTTGCGCCTTGGAACTTGCGCTGCCCGCCAGGGTTCAGAAGACCCACTGGAGTGCTTCAGAAGGGCACACGGAGGAGTAGCAGGAATTCCCCAACAATGGTGGAATTCTGATGGATTCCCGCAGTAAAACAAATGGCTGGTTTCTGGTTGGGAAGACCCCTTGTATGTCTATTTCCGGCTTGTTGAGGCTGCGGATTTCAGATCTATTGGCAGCGCTTTCTTCTGAGATGCCTGCAGAAGCCCTTGCAGTCTTGGAATTACGAGCTGGAAGTCACCGGTGTGGAGCAAGAGCTTGAGCATGTTCGGGCAGAGCGCACCCATGACGCACTGCCTCGACTGGCTGTCTGCAGTAGCAACCACTTGCAAGAGGCCGCGAATCTCCCAGACATTTTGCGTTCATACTTCCACGGCTCCGTCATTCCCAGCAATGCTCACGCCATTCTCCTCCGCAGCGTGGCTTTTGAATGGAACCATCCGGACTCTGGCATCATGTTGCCACAGTGCGCCAAGGCTGTGATTTTTGCTGACGGTCCACGCGGGCCCTTGACGCCCGAAAATATTTGCAAAGAGTTGGGTCTTCTACACGGCTTTGCTGCGCATCGGCTCTTTGAAGGGATGACCGCTGCAGGTAGCCTCGAGTGGGAAAGGGCGCAGTTTCAGTAAAAGCAGTGCAGCTGCAGCAAAAGCCGCTGATTGTGCGCGGCCTGATGGCTGCCCATGAGGCCAAGCGATGGTGCGTGAGCCAATGCTATAATATCTCCCTTGGGACTGTCAGGGTTGACAGGTTCCGGCGCAACACGTAAAGGATGTCAAGAAACCTGGCTCGGCCTCAGGGAAGCGAGGAAACAGTGTACTTGGTCAGCGTCGAAAGATGGCTTCGAGAGGTGCAGGCTCGTGCGTGTGCAGGGGCTGGTGCCGATTTCCACGGAGGCGCCGCAGCCTTGGCGGCTTTCCGGAGCGCAGGTGAAAGGCTCGCGAATGCTTTGCCGGCAGGGATGATGCCGGGACGTGCATGCAGCGCGTTGACGCGACCACTCCGGCAATGAGGAGCATTTATGCAATGTACCTTGAAGGCAGCCTGTGACTCTCAGTGGCAAATACAAACTCCAGAATATGAAAACAAGGCCCTTGCTGGACTGAGTGTGCGGTTCCAGGGTTTGGACATGGTGCCAGGAATGCGTTGCTGCGCATCTTGACATGCAACAACAGCAATCCATGCATGTGTCTTCCGCAGCCCAGCTTTTTTCTGATATTGGAGGAGGTTGCCAGCCCTGTGCCGTCATGAACTCTCCGCGGCAGGAAGCCACACCTCCCAGGGCCTCCGAACACCTTCCGCCTGATGAAGGGTCGAGCCAGCTGGGCTCAGTCTTTGTCAGGCTGGAGAAAGAGGGAGAAGCTGAGTGGGCCAGCGTGAGGCAGCGTGTGGGGTCTCCAACTGACCCTGCCCTGGGCGCGATCGCTTGCAAGCACTTGCGCAAAAGCTCTTGCCAGAAGTTACTGGGGCAGTCGAGGCATGCCGGGAGTTTTTGCGCACTTGCTCTGCAGACTGCCAAGAGGCGTTCTTTGCAGCTTGGGCCTGCAAGGTGTACGACCTGCAGATGCCCTTCTACACCAGCATGGAAGCCTTGTCTAGCCAATGAGAGACCTCTTTGCGCGCAGTGTCGCTCATTGAGATGGCCTCAGCGTGCGAGCGCCTCGCTGTGGGCTATGGCTTGCCCAAAGATGGTCACTTGGTCCATTCTTGCGTTCAAGGGCAGTGCCTATACCACTTCATGGGGTCCGACGGGAAGCTGAAAGCACGGGCAATGTTGCTTGTCTAGAGCATTGCCTTGTCTCATGGTCTCCTTGCAAGTATAGATTTGCGTCTTTCCTCGAAGCATTAGTTGCGGTCATGGCAGCCAAGGATGGAAAGTGAAAGCAGCTGGAACCAGGCGGGCTCCAAGTTGAAGTTGGTTGCCATCGCTTCTTCAGCAGCCGGGAAGGACAATTTCAAGCCTCATGGGCAGCCATCAGGCCGCGCACAATCAGCGGCTTTTGCTGCAGCTGCACTGCTTTGGCAAAATTGTGGCCGCCAGCAACTTTCGAGGAGTCCCACACACGCGTGGGCGTGACCTGGCTGCCCTTGCAGCCCCCCGGCCTTATGCGAACATGCTTGAGGTACTGAA